TCCCAGCTCTGCGCACAACACCAATCAGCACAGAAGGTCCACAAATCATCATCAACAAGAACATCGGTGTGTTACGCACCTGTCCAGATATCGGCATCTGCACCTGTACACTGTCGCCGCCATTTACACTGAAATATGCATTGCGACAGTTCGAGCAGACAGTGTCGTAGAAAGCATAGTCGGCGTTGATGTAATCGATGGAGAGGAGCTTCGAGCCGCCCGTGCTGCCGCCGTCAATGCCGTTGAACGTCAGTGTGCCTCCCTCGCCTACATAGCCGACGTCCGTGATTTCGTCCCCCGCCGCCAATCCTGCAGCAGCCGCACTGGCGGAAAGCGTCACCGACTGGTTGACTGCACCACCTGCGAGGGTGTTGGACGATGATGCGGCGGGGTAGTATGTGAAATCGGGCGTGCTGGCGGCCACGCCATTGGTAAGTTTAAGGACAAGTACACCGTGCGCGTCGATGGATGCTGTGTATCTGTGTTAGAATTTTTAGTACCATTTTCGACAAGAGTCTGTCTGCTAGCTCACGTTGAGTCGATTGTGCCAAGGTCAGCATCGGAAATGAGGTCTGCGGCATCTGCGGACGAAAAGCCAACGTCATTCAGAGAGAATGTCACGTCGTTCGTACTATCCTCCCAGTTCAATATCACTGGGATATGGTGATACATGTAAACATCAACTTGATAGGTTCAAAATTGTGACAACTCACATGCGACAGTCGATCCATCCGCGAGCGGACTGGCCCACACGTCGTAGTCGTTGGTGTAGCGACGTTTGAACGAGATAGACGCGCCAAGGGTATCTTGCTTGGTTCACCGTCAGCACGACAGATTCTATTTCGTTTTTGTCAGAAAAGAAATACATTCAATGCAATGATGCGTTCGTTAAGTAGAATGGACAGTGCGTCTGAGGAGATTGCCGTCAAGTCCGTAGACACCATCAGTGGAGATCTGGAGACGAGGCAGTCGTGTAAAAAAATTATGACTGAATGATGGCTTACTTTGCAGCTGCCCAAAACGCAAAATGCGTCTGCTGCTCTGTCGTGGTTAGGCCATCGTTGCCAACCTCCAGCAAGTCCTATATCAAGAATCCATCTCAACCAGCGCGTACTTTTGAAACGGCGAATTACAAAAAATTACCCACCAAGTCGTTGAATCCGCCCGGTTCTGCGAATTGCGAGATTGGCACTAGTTGGTTGATGATGCGGAAGAGGTCGGCCCACGAATCCCCGATGTCGTTTCTGTGCAAAAGGCTCGTGAGTGAAGAAGATAGGAAGGTGTGCAGGGGCGTACGAGATACGCCAGCTGTTACCGATGTCGCTGGCAGGCCAGCGCGCCGGGTCTTGCACACCCCACTCGCATATGGAAAACAGGATCTCGCGACTAGTGTTCTTGAGCGCGCTTTCCATGGTAATGTAATGGGTCTAGTGAAGCGGGTGATGAGTGCGTAATGCAACACACGACAGGATGCTTGCTACCTCGACTTCAATGGTTGGATAGAAATCCACGAAGTCGGTTGTGCTCTCTGAGTAACAATTGTCGTACTACTAGATCTGAGATTGTGTTAAAACGAGATATGAACTAACAGGCATGCCTTCAGGTAGTCTGCACCCCAACTTGCGAAGGTTTTCGCGTCGGACGCCTCGTATCCAAGGCTGCCTATCCAGTAGGCAGCGCCATCGACGTTGTCGCAAGAATAGTAGCCTCTGAGGATACAGACATGAGGCAGACGTACGGGAAGAAGTAACGAATCAGTACTGCTAACCCATCAGAATACACGCCGAATTCCATGTCCAAATCATGGACATATGATGCTAATGCGGGAATGCCCTTCGGAAACCGCGTAGTGTTGTACTGGAAGGTGCCGTTGCTACTACGTGTGGTGGCTTGCCAGCCGCAGTCGAGATTAATGTACTTGTAACCGACGTCTCGCAGCCCCAGACTGACGACGAGGTCTGCAGAAGTGTAGTACTCGTCCTCAGTGGTGTCGCACCTGGAGGATATATCTACCGATGAATTCTATCGCTCGTCAACCATGTGCATGAATACGCACGAGTATGCATTGTAGGGGTTCCATCCCATCGCGGGTGTGACGCCGACACCATTGTCTAGCGCGACAGCGGTAGAAAGAATGACAAGCACGCAGAACGCCACGGTCCACTTGGCTGCCATCGAGCATAAACTTGTGAGCAATCGCGAAAGATGGGAGTCGAGCGCAGACGGGATTTTTATTCAGGAGATTCCAGCATACACCACTACGCACGAAAGGCTCGAACGGCCGCCTGGTGACCAGCAGCTGCCCATCTGACCGTTTAACTGCCTACGACATCGTATAGCGTGATATGAGATGCACGCGCTGCTACACGCAGAAGGACCGATAGAAATCTGAAAGGATTCTCTCGAAAGTTTGAGTTGAGGAAGTACGCACCAAAGAATGCGGTCGGAAAAAGACCATGAGGGCTTAAGCTTAAGTGGTTAACATACCAGTGCCCATGGGACAGTCTGATGTCTTCACTCTCTCTTCGTTCAAATCAGGCAACGAGCTTACCATACAAGGCGAAAAGTTTCGAGTGTCAATAGAAGTCGATAATTCAAAGCTTTTTCAAAAATGTCAATGAAAATTTGACGATACACGTACAGCAATTTGAGAGGCGTATGAGATCCTGATTTCCTTATCGGACTGTATTACTTGTTCGAGCTCGTGTTCCTATCGGGTAGACAAGACGCGTAGACAAACGCGCGTAAGTAAGACAAAGACGAATGATGATTGGTTGCCGAACATCCTCGCGAGGGATCTGGATTCATACTTGCAGGAACGCGTCTCGCTCGAGGCTGCCAAATGTCGCGGGCAATCCTGGGCAATCTTGGGCAATCTTCAGGAGAGAAAACGACAAATATGTATGACAGTGACCGATCAATATGATCTTATCACGATTAACTGATCGCCGTGGCAGCACTACCGCGGTGCAATTGCTTTTTTTTTGCTCACTTCTTTCGCCGTTGCGAGTTGACAAGCTCCTGTTTTCTATGTTTTTAATTTTCATCAGTGCCATGTTCACGGAAATTTACTGTGTGCACTAGTATGACTGCTCGATACCGACGACTGCAACCCGATATCAGTACGGTTTTTTGGTGATCTCTACCAGTGCTGTAGTGACCTTTCACATCTGCTTCATGGAAACAATGTTTTGTGCTATCCTTTTGTTCGCGCTCCAAATCAGGTAGGTGTTCAGCCGAAGTCTCATGATGTCCGAGAACTTCGACATTTGAAGAGCGTGCAGCGCCTCGTGCAGGCTGAGCGCTGTTGAGCAAACCGTTTTGTCGGGCTGTTGTCCGGCTCTTTTTGCCTCGTTGCCTTCGCCTGGTTTCCTTTTTCTGCCCTATCGCATTGATCAAAGAGCCTCTGCTATTGTTCTCCTATACACGTTTTGAACGCAGGCGATTTCTATATCGGGCCTTCCCATAGTTCCCCGCTCTGATGGCCCTGACTTTCCACGCGGACAACACATTGACACTTCTCCTTTGAGAACAATAAGTGATCATTGCCAGCCGTCATATATAACACCGGCTGTCTTGCGAATAGTACATTTTGTTGCATGTCTTCTCTTTTTCCGCCTTGTCTACATCTTCTTGCTTTTGCCGCTACTTGTCATCGCAATCCCTATGGCTTATTCCGAAACGTCTTCTGATGTGAGTTTGACTGTGTCCTCCCCTGTCGACGCCCTTCACTAATTAGCCGGATACCCAGTACTCATACGACGAGAAAGAGACATCCTCTCTGGTAACGTGTTATGACCTCTTGGCTCCTCCGCCGCAGCTGACTCACGGCAATCCAGCTTGTCCTCAATCCCATCGGTCATTGCCATGTCAAGTACCACCCAGATTCCGAATGGGATCTGATGTATGACGGTGCCAACACCAACGATCCAGTGGACATGACTCTATGCCTGCCTCATCATCGACATCGTGGATTGTATGGCGAACAACGCGTGGCCATGTTTGTTGGCAGTAATAGCGAGAACATCAGATTGAAGATCGTACGTGCTTCCCAAAGTTGTATTTGTGGCCTCTGATGGTCTCATCTCTTTTTCAGTCTCGAAATTGTTCTCAGTCGAAGTTCCAGCTCGCCGTCGTGGCTTCTGTTGCCGACGTGACCCTCTGGCTTCCCTCTGACTTCAAGGGTCACATATGCCACGTGGGAAGTGCCAGGCTTTCACTCTCTGCGGGCTTCATGAACCGTATCCTGCCGAACACACGCTTCGACAGTGACAGCGAGCGTGTGCCCTCTGAGGGCGACTACGTCGTGGTCAGCACGCAAGGCTGTGTGACCCTCCGCATGTGGGACGTCCAGACTTCCACGCCGGAAAGCGTGCAGAAGGAGACGTTTCGCCGCATGTTCAGTTGCATGCGCGTCAAGGAGCGCCGCGCCAATTGGGACTGTCTTCTCAACCGCAAGTGAGGCGCGCTCTCGACTTATCCTGTATTTATTAGATTTTCTCTTTAACCTTTAATCTGTGCACCCCTTTCGACACTTCTTTCGGTCATAGGAACACTGGTCTTTTATTCCCAATTTTATTAGCGGCCCTCTGGCTTAGACGCACGTTTTTCGCATCATAACTGTATCTCTGCACGTACACATCTATCTGTAGCATATCACTTTTTTCTTTTTTCTCTGCATAGTAGCATACCCCGAAGTCGTCCGCGTTCCTCATTTGTAGCCTTACATTCCTGCACGGTTCGTCTCTATTGTTAGGCGCATCTCCATCCCACTCTTATGTATTTCTATGATAACTAAGAGATAGGTAGACACATACTGCCTTGCGTTAGCATATGCACTGATAGGTTGACCCTATGCCATATATGCTTATTGGATTCCATAATACATGATAGGCACCTGCAGGTACAAGAAAGAACTCACAAGTGGTGGTTTGCAAAGTGTAGTCCATGACGTACGACTTACTTCAGATCCGGCAAAAAAAGTGCGGTGAACTCTTCTTCGACGCCGGCAGGATTCGAACCTGCGCCCACAAAGTGGAATTGATTTCTAATCAATCGCCTTAACCACTTGGCTACAGCGCCTTCTGGCTTATCGGTGTCTTAGTATATAGAATCGCATTTGACGATGTTTTCTTCTATGTGCACCCAACCCGCCGTTCTCACCTCAGTCATATAGCATACCTTGCATACCTGAACTCGCCCCCACAGAAACAATCGCGTCAGCTGGGTTCGTAGATAAAACATGTAATCGATGGGCATTGAAGACAGCAGTATGTATTACGAAGTATCGGGGGATGTCCGGTGATAGTAAAGGGCGGACAAGTGCAGATGGCTAAGAGCTGACATCGAAGTGAGTCCAAAGCGTGATCATATCTATGGTCCATGGGGAACGGACAATCTGCGGTGCAAGGGCATAAAAGCTCGTGGACAGAGACATAGAAGACGGGAATATTACGTATATACGCAACGGGATTATATGGCACAGGACCGTCAACACGACGCTAACGTGAACGATGAGATTATATATGTACAGACCAAGGTATGTAGCACGAGCATGAGGGGTGAGGGGTACAGATTGTGAGAATGGAGGTCCATTGAGAGGATCGTGGTACACAGTATGTAAAGTCAATGTTGGAAAGAGAAATGCGGTGACACTGAAAGGAGAAGGTAGCGCAAAAGTGACGGAATTAATCAATACAAAATATCAATAAAAGGTAGAAAAATGTCAAGAAAAGGAATCACGCCACAAACGGGAGCATACGAATATCACGCTCCACAACGTGGGCCAGATGCGGACAGTACACGACAGGCCATGAAAAGACCAGCAGTCACTGCACGATGCAATTGCCCGACGATTGGTTGGATTTCCCATGTCGTTTAGTGTGACGTTCATCAGATGGCAGAGCACCCGGGACATCCTGTGCGTCCTCGATAGGAACTTCGACCTCCATTATAGAGCCTATCGCAGTAGAGAACCTACTGCCGGCCGATCTGCCCGTCCCTCCCTCGCTCGTTCCAGCCACCGACTTTGTGGAGTGGCGACCGGCCGACGAATCATTAGTAGCGATGCTCAAGATGCTGGGCGTCTTGGCAAGGGCCGGCGGTGACGTTTCGCGGTTCTTTTGATGGTGCGGTGCTTTGTCTAACAGTCCCCCAGGGCCATCAACCGACATGGATTTGTTTTTCTTGAGTTTCTTCAGCTTGGAGCTTGGAGGAGGCGGGGATACAGAGCTAGTGGATGGGGGCGATTGTGGTGCCATGTCGAAACTCGTACGCGGAGAGTGCGTCATGTATGGAACATCCGAAGTCGGACTCGCAGGATATTGATCACGATGCTCAGCTGTATTGCTGTAAGCACTAGTGGGACTCCCCTTCTCCGCGTATTGAGCGTAAAGCAGCAGCTTGGCGCGGAGATTGCAAGTCGGGAGAGCGTTCGAAACGCATTTGGAATGAGCGATCAGACTGCACTCGGAACACAGTACGGCGCTCTTTTTGACATGAAGCAGGCAAACGCGGCAAAGCATCGCTAACAAAACAAAACGTTTGAATATTGTAAGACATACACGACCCAGATGAACTCACGCTTGCTGAACGTCGTTTTGACGAACGAATGCTCTCGCGGCGAGATTTGACTGTCACCGATCGGACTGAAGGATGGATTTGATAATTGACGCGCTAACTGGATACTCGGTTCCTCGCTCCTAGCTCGCTCGACATTGTCTGGCATCTCAATTTGCGCAAGGTACTTTACGGCCTCCGACATCTGGAGGTCCGCGCTAACGCGCCGAAGGAATGGAATACTATCCTGAGGTCGCAATTCCTATAGAAGTCCATGAGTTTAAGATTTCCTTTGGTAACGTCGGTCAGAAGTACCTTGTGAGCGCCCCAATTCTCCTTGAGCCAAAGATGTTCACAAAGAATATCTGCACTTGGTCGCTTGGAAGGATCCTTATTGAAACACAGATTAAGGAAATCCTGCAAGAGGGGAGAGCATTCAGCAGGTATTGGAGGCTTCTCGTCTTCGACGATACGAAACATGACTAAAACATGGTGAGAGGTGCCACAAAACAAACAGTCAACGCAAATACTAACCCGTCATGCTGTTCGTGATCTCTGCGTACGGTGGTCGACCAGTCAAAAGTTCGATCACCGTACACGCCAACGACCATATGTCCGATTTCGTCGAAGCGCCCTTCAACTCGATGACCTCCGGAGCCATCCAATTTGGAGTGCCGGCCACGTCCTTGATTTCACGTTCCATCGCGCGCAGATTCAGACTGACACCGAAATCGGTAAGCTTGACGTTTCCCGTTTTCGTCGTTAAGATATTGGCAGCCTTGAGATCACAGTGAACGACATCACTCTGATGCAGATAATGCAGTCCTTCGAGTATTTTGACTACATAGCCTGCTACAAGGCGCTCGTTCAGCTTCCCGAAGGCCTTTAACGTCTGGCCCAACGAGCCATTCTCCGCGTACCTGTATTAAGATTGAGCAACCAGGAAACATTCGCCGAGACAAACAACCTACTCTAACACAATGCTCAGGGTATCGGCGTCTCGAGCCATGCCTTCGTATTTCACAATACTGGGGTGTGATAGTCGCTTCACAAGGTCAACTTCGCGCATGAGCGTCGTGATCTCGTCCTCTTTCAATCCCTCCAGCCGAATGCGTTTCACAGCAACCATTTGCCCTGTGTTGAGATTAAGAGCTCGATAGACTGACCCGAACTGCCCCCGTCCAATACAATTCCCAAGTTGCTATGTCAAAAATCAGTAAATTATATTTTCAAGACCAGAAAAACGGGAATTTTATGCATGAAACTCGGATGACGTTTGGAAGGCGAAAATCACTGTCTGAAATATAAGAATGAACATATGGAGGCTTACAAAATGCGTAGGGACTTTGCCTTCTTCCCTGATGACGAGAGTCTTTCGGACGATGTTGCCTGTGACCGAGTCTCTTCGCGTCAAAACAGAGTCCCTCGAGAGGACTGATTCCCGTGAGAGTAAATCGCTGGCACTCGCGTTGGAGGAAGAAGTGACACCAAGGTTAACCATGCTCTCATAGCGCGAGCGGGTCTGAGGCGCACCAAGCTCGTCATACGAGTTGGGGCGTGGCTTGAGGCCAGGTTCAGCCACGTCGCTCTGGAACCTGCCACGTAGCGACTTGGGCCCTACAGGAGCTACGGCGCCACCAGAGTGCGTGGAAAAATCGCTAGACGGTGTGTCGGTACCTGACTCGGCACGAGGAAATGGAATTGGAGACGGCGACGGCGAATTGGATGAATCATCTGGTGAAGCATGAAGCCCAGGACCATGAACGCCACCCGACCTGGCACCTGAATGGCGCAGAATAATTTTGCTTGCGTTGCCCTCGGGTGAGATGTCTCGACGGAGAACACTCTCTTTGGACGCAAGCCCTGAAACGTCAATGCTATGTCTAGGGCGATGTACAGGACGGCGTGAGCTCTCAAGGCCAGGTTTGCGAGGGGAAGCGCCAGACGCGTAGAATGCCGACGGGCATTCACGGACCAATGCACGATCCGTAGAAGCGCCAATTTCTTGGTTTTGAACGGGGTCGACGAAATCTTCAGGCCAACACCCTTTACCAGGCATGATATGAGTAGGTCGGCCATCAGACGCATGATTCAGTCCTGTGGAACTCAGAGAGTCTTCCCTTGCACTTGTCGGGTCGACGCCGGGTCCCCCATTGGAGGATATTTTTGTCAGGCTCTCTGCTATGGCGCTGCCCTCTGTTCGAGAGATAGACGGACTCGGAGATGTGACGTCTGTGGTGATTGTGCGGATAGTGCCGTACCGATTTCCGCTACTGTGCGAGCGACCAACGTCGAAGAGACTTGACACGGCTGTGGTATCCGTTGAAGTTGAAACTATTGACTGGCGATTATCGACAGGGCTCGATGATACTCCGGAGTCAGTTCGCAATGCAGTACTCGGATACCCGGTTTGCAACACGAGTGGAGGACGTGAACAATGTGCCACTCTGTCATCATGTTTCAAGTGCGACGAGCTTGGTCCACCATCGTCTCCTCGACACAACCCTCGCGAGTTCCCGCGAAGTGGGGACTTCTGAGGTAAAGGGATAATGCGGGGTGGGCTAGAAGACGACTGGCGGCCTTTGATCGCAGGCGACAACAGCGGACGAACGAGTGGCGTTGGACTGGGCGCATGGGCACCTGAATCGAGATCTGGTGTCATTTGAGATTGATGGCCGCGATCGGCGTTCAAGGTTGGTTGAGCGATACATACACCAGAACATAGAAAGCATCGCTTACCTTTTGTAGGTGTTCTCCGACGCCCGTTCGGCTCGATGTCGTCGTCCAGTTCAATACCGCTGAACTCAGCCTGAAAATCAAAGCCAGGATTATCCACATCAAAATCAGCGCCGTCCTCCACATCGCCCATCCGGATAGAGCGCACAGTCGGCAAGTCGGCCGGGGGACACCAACGTTTCTTCGCGGGAGACAACGACGATCTTAACCGACCAGAGGGAGGCAGCGGTTTTGCGTATGTCACCGGCGGCACATTTCCGGCGTCTGACGAAGTGCAGTGCACAGCTGAGGCGGCAAGAGCAAGATTCGGGGTTGATGCAGCGCCGTCACTGTGGCCGTAGGGCCCGGGTTGATTGTACGGCGTCGTGCTGGAGGGCCGTCTTTGTCCATGAAGAACTTTGTCTCGCCGCGTCTCGAAGTCGGAAAGACCAGTTCGAGCGGCTGCATTCTCTTCATTCGCCAACTGGATTAGTGCTATAATAGCCCGAGCGACTCTTTGAAGACCGTCAAATGTCCCTTGCACGAGATCATCACGCAGGAAAAGTTTCCCGCTCGGTACGCCATATGAAGAGGATGCTGCTAAAAACTTGGTAACATTGGAGGTGCGTGCGAATCCGTCCTCTCGAATGTCCGCCTTAATGCGAGTCAGCTCGTCTGTCGAAATGCGGAACTTGTTCATTAATCTAAAATAAAACAAAGTTAGATTCATGTACTTTATTGTGAGTTAAGAAAAGCCGACTTACTGGCATAGAACAAAGCCATCCCGTAGCACTTCACAAAAAAGCCGA